TAAATAAACATTGTAAAAACAAAAATCCCAACTGGCCACAGGCAAAGTGCAGCCTAGGAGTTAGACTTGGGGCAACCGAAAACAAAAAAGTGATCAACGGGGTGAAGAGCTGAACCCGGGACCACGAGAGTACAGGTCCAGCGCCCTAACCACTTGGCCAAAATGCTCCAGTAATGCTGGAAAAATTCACGTGAATATCACATTTGTAATAATATTCCATATGTATCAAGATACGAGCTGTTAGTAGTAAAATGAAGGCTCAAGGAGAACTACAAAGATCATTGGCAAACTATTTTAGAAACTATTTAACAACTGGGATTGCACTGAGCCCAATTGAGCAGAGATTTGAAAACTATCATTCAAACCGTCAATGTGTCAAAAAAGTCATGTTATTATATTTAACTATGTCTTTCCTCATTGCTGGGTACCTCTCTTAGTTTTACATTTATTGAAAAAAGAACCGGATCCACTAGTTATTCTCGACAGTGATTTTGCTTTACTTAATCAAAGACGGATCGCGTTACCAAAATTTTAGAACAGATTACTCATTGATGTTTCCTTCAAATAAGCTGCATTTAGAGTGCGAGAAGAGGATAAGGCGGCATAATGTTGCATGGACTTATAACCTTTAAGAAAATTAATATTACCTTAAAAGTTTCCTCCTCTCTGAAGCGAGAGGCCCTTTTAAACTTCTCTCCAATCTTTCCCTGAAGGCTACCATCGATGTTGTTGGTGCTGACTGGATCGCCGTTTTTGTCTCGCAAAAGAGCGTTCTTTTCTTGCCATAAGGCAAGACGAAAATCTCTCTCGGCTTTTCTTTGTTGCCTTTTATGACCGAAAGGAATTGTTTCGGTGAACTTTTTGGTCCCTGTGCTATCACTCCCTGAATGAACGTTTCCTCTTCTTTCACAGTTGTTTGGAGCGACATGTGAACCATCCCTCCATCTTTTCTCATTTGCAATGACTCTTTTGTTCAGAGAAGATAAAAACTCAACAGATTCCGGAAGGTACCAGCTTGGAAAAAAATCTTTCAAATCCGTTTCCTGACCTTGACGAACTTTTTTCCTTGTTACATTTTCGCTTTCCTCTGTGCCATTTGTTTTCAACTTATTCATTTTTTCTACAGCGCCGATCCCTTTAAAAAGATTACAAATCCAGTGTTCAGCGTCGACCGTTTTTTCCTCAACAAATTCTGTTCCATAGCCATTTCTTCCCTCGATGTTTTGCTCGTCACTTTCATCGTCTTGCTCGTATGTGCGATGAGGAAGCTCTACACGAGTGTGTTGTTCTGGCACAAATCGTTGCTTTTTTGTCATTCTTGAACCTTTTTCAACCACTGGATATGTAACTGACGTTTCCACTTCTTCATGAATCTGAGGCACATTGGAAATGTTTCCTCTTTCAATTTCGTTCACAAACTTCTCTTTGTTAAGCTTAATCTCTGCACTTATAGAGTCGATAAGACCATTGTTATTTCCAACCATAACTTTACTCTCCACCAGTTTAAGCGTCAAAACCTTTTCTAAAGCACTTGAATGTTCCCTTTTTGAGTCAACAAGGCTTCTAGTTTTGGCATCTAAGTTAACTAGTAAACGCTCAATATCTTTCTCAACAGTGTTAAATTCATCCGAAAGCGGTGTAACCTCGTAGAGACTCATCAAAAACCCAAGTGAGTCGTTTAATTCCGTTTCATCCACCAAAAGAGTGTCAGGACGACTATCAGCACCAAACGAGCCTTGTAGTGCATAAAGTGACTCAGGATTTACCTTTTCAAATTGTTCAAAACCGGAGGGCTTGTACCTGATAGAATCAGGCCTTTCGTGCTTTAAGGTTGATTCATCTGTTTTCTTCGTTGTAACGGAAGTTTTGTGGGTGAGTAATTCTTTTCTTTCTTCGGTGTTTTGCTGGGGATATCGCTCCATTTGAGCTCCTTTTGAACAGGTTTCTTTA